GGCTGGGGCGGTGTGGGCTCGCCGGGTCCGGTGCGGTCAAGAGTGCTGGGATCGGGTCTGGAGGTGCTTACAGCTACACCACCCTGAGAACGCCCGAACGCGTCTGATCAACTCGTCTGATCTCGGAAGCTAAGCAGGGCCGGGCCTGGTTAGTACGTGGGTGGGAGACCCCCCGGAAATACCGGGTGCGGTAAAATTTAACAAGTGCGCAAGTCGTTGTGCCCAGGACAAAACCCTGGATCAGGACAAGAAGCTCATCATCAAAATCTTCAATGTTTCTTTGCAAGTCAGGAAAGGTTTGGCCACGTGGCTGTGGCTTTTCTGACATCCCCCATCAGTTCAAGGGAAGCCACCAAGCAGTGTTCCCTGAGCATCCTGTCGCTCTGTTTGGGTGGTTTCTGTGCACCCAGCATGCACTAAAGGGATTTTGGCAGCATTAAAATAAGGACTGGCTAGATTTAGCTAACAGCTGTGTCTTGGGAAGAGGGTGGAAACTGGCCCTCACATCCCACCTGGGTGCATGTGGCTCCTGGCTGCTGGGAGGGCTGGTGACAGCCCAGAATTGAGGCTCTGGAGGAGCAGTGGAAGAAGAACAAGCCAACCTCCTGCTTTAGCACCTCCTTCATTACAGCTCTGCCAGTCCTGGCATCACAATGTTCTTGTGCCCCATCAGACCACCCAGCACAGGGTCAGGGACACTGTGCAGCAGGTGAAGCACAGACAGGTTCAGGGAGCTGAGGCCTTGCAGCACAGCAAATGAGGCTCCTGCCCAGCACCACAAGGAATGTAACCCAGTGCTGCACCCAGCAGGGCAGGGCACACCGAAGACCCCCAGCTCCTGCCCCCAGACAGGATTATTGGGGAATTTTCCTCAAACCCACCCTGTTCATGCAGGAGCAGCTCACCTGGTGTGAGGAGTCCTCACCCCTAACCCCTCTGCAGGAGTTTTGATGTATTTCCCCCCAAAATAGAAAAATTCAGCCTCCAAACTGCAGCCCTGAATGGCAAGAAGTGAAGGGAGGAGGAAAAGATAGCTAAAACCTTTCCAGCACCTGTGTCCTCTTGCTAATGAACAGCTCAGATCTCCCACGCCCTCAGGGAAGATTAATTATCTTTGATTAGTCATTTGTAAGGACAAAACACAACCCATTGCCTTTGGAATTGCTCTCCCTTTGAAGGATCTTCTGGCAAAGGCAGATAAAGCTGCAGCTCTGCTGGGAACATGGATCTGTGTTCCAGGAGCAGCACCTGGAGGCCAACTGCACCCCAGTGACACAGGGGCTGCCCCCAGAGCCACCAGCCTTCCCCCAGAGCCCTGGAGAGGAGACACTCCCTCTCCTGGCCCAGGTGTGAGTTAAGAACCACAGGGAGACATCAAAGCTGGTTTTCAATTAAAAAATAAATAACTCTAATTTATTAAGAAGTAAACTCTTCTTACAATAAGGCTCATACATAAGTTAAACGTTTGTCTTAACAATAACAAATAAATACTCTTATTTACAGAACAGTGTTAACTCTAACAGTGCGTGTTTCAGAGCAGCTGCTGGTGGATTATCTCCCACACCATCCTCCTGCGGAAGTAAGGCATGTGTTCCTGGAAAGGGAAAGGGGAGAATCCAGTAAATGGGAAGTCAGGAGGAAGAGGCAGAAAATCTCCATAAACAACCAGGCAATTCTTGGATGGGAAGTTGCTTTTCAGACCTGTCAGCACCTGCCATGAGTGCCATGGACCTGCCAACATCCTCACCTGTGTGAAGGTGATGGGTTTGTCTCTGGAGATGGAATCTGCAAACTTGCAGACAAACACCCCACAGTCACTGCCATTGGTTTGCTGAGGGATCTCCTGAGCGACACCAAAAGACACAGAGAATTTTCACCTCAGAGGAGCAGCAATGTCATCAAAGCACACACTACCCCACACCGACAGCTCCTGAAAACCTCCTTCCATGCTCCATTTCCCACTCCTGAACCCAAGGAATAGTCCCAGTTAATCCTCTCTGCCTCCTTGGGAAGCATCAGCCCCTCTATGACGAGGAGTTCTAGTTCCCATTCCAAATCCAGGTGCTGCTCCCATACCTGTGGGCCCAAACTGCGAAGAGTCCACTCAGCAACAGGGAGTTCCAGGTTTTTTTTCTCCCTGCTCTCCTCTTGCAGGTATTGTCTGTTTAAAACAAAACAAAATCACTCTCCATCTCCCTCATTTGGGGCAGCAGAAAGAAGCTGCTGAAGGGTGACAGGAAGGTGAATGGCAGCAAAATGTTGGAGGATCCTCCCAGCAGTGGATTAAGGAATGTGGAGGAAAAATCCCAATGTCAAGTTTTGAGACACTGAGAGCTAATGGCCAGGAGTGAGACCAGCAATTCCAACAGACACTTCCACAAAAGCTCATGGCTTAGGTCAACTCTCCCCAAATCACACGTTATTGGAGGAGGAGAGGAAAAACCAAGCAGGGAGCCATAATGCCACCATCCCACCTTGTGCCAATCACACTTTATTGGGGGAGGAGAGTAAAAACCAGGCAGGGAGCCATAACGCCACCATCCCACCTTGTGCCTCTGGGAGGACAAACACATTGGGGCTAATGCCTCTGGCTGAGGGAATTCCCAGGCCACCAGCTGCTGGGAAAAGGCTCTAGAGGAAAGAATTCTTCTGTGCAGACCTGTTGTTACACCTGTTCCCCTGCTGTGAACTGTTCAGGAGAGCACAGGCCCAAACCAACACGTGGTGTGTCTGTGTTGGGCTGCTCTCCTGCTCTCGCTCCACAGAGCTGCTGCCTTCAGGGGGTGTACATCAGACATGAAAACCTGCACCTGTCACCCTTCAGGAGGCTCCAAACACCGAGTAGAGCAGAAGAGGTCCAAAGTGAGGAGCAGCAAGTGACAGTGCAAGGAACAGTTCAAGTGGGGAGGGAAAAAGGGTTCAAAACAACCAAAAGGATAAAAAAGCTACTCACAAGAATGTTTCGCAGATTTTGTCGCCTTTCTGCCCCAAGGAGTCGAAGTACTTGATGGTTTTTCTTCGGACGTCTATGACCTGGGATTAAAAGGCAACTTAGGCAAAGCACAGCCCAAACCCTACAGGACATTTCTTCCTGGCTTTGCCCTAAAAAGGGCAATAATAAAAAGGCAGTTTGACTCACCAGCAGTGTCCAGTGCAGTCTGAGGTGAATGGGCACCAGGATGAGATCCTGCTGGAAGACATCTACACCCCTGGTCCATCTCTTTACTGCCTTGTACCCTCCAGTACAGAGTTTGGGGTAAAAGAAGGTACTGAAGGCATGGACCACTGGATAGCCTTCTTTCTTGCTTCTGTCTACCAGAAGGCTCATGTAGAAATTGATGATCTGCACCACAGAGAAGAAAGTTGAGATGTAAAAGAAGACATCAACATGTCTTTGCTGGCTACTCTTGAACTGAGAGAACCTCAGCTGTCACTTTGGCTCTGAGAATTTTACACTTGGTGACTTGTGCTGTTGAATAAAAGCACCTGCAACTGCTCCAGGAACCCAAAGTGACTCCTGGGATCTGCCAGAGACACCAGACCCGTACGGACCCAAAGTTGGGACTGTACAGCTGTTCCCGGGCTCTGCAGTGGAGCTCCTGTCCCCAGAGAAGGCTAGTTCCCAAATTCAGCTATTCCCAAAACAGTGCTGAATTGGAGCCCTGCTCTTACCTCATCGTTCAGCCAGCACAGCTGCTGCAGGGTGCAGATGTCTTCCCGAGTCACCTGGAGCTTGAAGGCACTGCTCAGGATCTCACTGGGCTCACCTTGGCCAAAGGCAGCCGTGATCTCTGTCTCCATGGCCTGGAACAGGTAATTCCCCAGGGAAGGACTCATGAGACAGGGCATGGAGCACACTGACCTCAACCAAAGCCTGAGTTTCAGTTCAGGTGCCAAAGGCTGGGCCAGGCATTTGCCAAGTCAGCAGTAGCACTGGTTAGTTTTTCTGGGCACACTTACCTCTGTGAGTGGAGCAAAGTCTTCGGTTCGTTCTTCAGAGCTTGGGAATGTCTCCCTGTCCACAAAGAATAAGTCTTGGGACAGAACAGGTGTTAGAATGTATGGAAATAACATTCCCTGGGAGACTTCAGCTCCACTTTGGCCCTGTGAGACAAAAGGACAGGAGCTTGGCAAGCAAGCACAGGGTTTTGCTGTGGGACAGCACAGACTAAGAGGAGCTTACCACTGCACTGGGTTGTTTTCCTGGTACTGCCTGGTCATGAGAGTCTTGAGTCTTGGGACAGAACAGGTGTTAGAATGTATGGAAATAACATTCCCTGGGAGACTTCAGCTCCACTTTGGCCCTGTGAGACAAAAGGACAGGAGCTTGGCAAGCAAGCACAGGGTTTTGCTGTGGGACAGCACAGACTAAGAGGAGCTTACCACTGCACTGGGTTGTTTTCCTGGTACTGCCTGGTCATGAGAGTCTTGTGGTGGTGTAGCTGTGAGGTGAGGAGAGAGAAAGAAGTGAGTTGGATATCTGTACTGTCCCATGAAATCCTCAGCAATTCTCCTCCTGGGTAAGAAATGCTGTTTGAAGGCTGATTGTGACTAGATCCTCCGTTGCACACAGGAACACATGACAACATCTCAGTTTCCTGTCCCATTCCTTTTGGAGCAGCAAGACTGGGACAGATGAGAAGCTGAAACTTCGCAAACTAACTTCCATCTACAGGTACCAAACTCCTTTTGTTTCTCAGGAAAGAATTCTTTTAGAGAATGTTCTCTAAATTAGAAAACATTCGGAGAACACTGAAGAATGTTTTACCCTCTGGAAAACAGGAAAGCAACTAGCACTTCCTCTAGTGCTTTGTGATCTCCCGGTGACCAGTACCACATGTTGGGGGTTCTACTGCCAGGTGGGACTTGAACATCTGCAACTGTCCTTACAGCCAAGTGCAGTTGGCTTATGGGAACTAAGAGCAGCACATGGAATTTGGGGGAACACAGCACAGCTTTAGCAGGGCAGCTGTGTTTGAGGGACAAGTGGCTTCTGAGCAACTCCAGAGCCACCAGCCAACTGCTCCTCTCCTCCAGCACTGAGACAAACAACAGGGTTTGCCTTCTGGAGGCTGGGCCATGCACATAGAACCATAAGAAACAAGAACCACGACTAAAAGAGCCTCTCACCTGATCATAACTCCCCTCTGAGGCAGCTGGGGGCTCAAAACATCTCCACATTTGGCACCTGCAGAGAGAATCAGCAGGATGAGAACAAGGAGGTGACTTTCCTCTCCTGCAGCTCTACAGAGCAATCAGGTTCTGGGTGATCACACAAAACCTTTCCAATGATGAGTTAGAAGTCCAAACTCTGGCACCTGCTCAGAAGTCACTTCAAACCCCACGTGATTGCATAACAAAGGCCCAGAGATGTAATAAGTAGTGCTGAGAAAATATTTAGAGCAATGAGCGGGGGGAAAAACACCTGGGACAACACTAAGTGTATATGCAGTTAGCTGACTTGACTTGAAAGCTTTGCTGTCATAGTCCTGTCTAGCATTCAAAAGGGGTTAAAGAGTAGCTCAGAGCAGCCCCCCGAGGTAAGTAGCAGCATCTGAGAGTGCCAGTCACAGATTCACCCTCCCCAGTACAAAAAACAGGTCCTACAACCTTCCCCTGGGCAGTGGGGTCACATCTGCAGCTACAAACAGTACTGCTGTAGGCATGTCTCAAATACAACTGGAACCCATTTTTCTCCCTCCAGTAAAACCCTCACAAGCCCAGTTTAAACCATAATTGGCTACGGTTTGGGAGGGGGGAGAAGGGAATGCCCCATTTTGACTGAAGTCTAGCTATAAAGTGGAACAGATGAGAATCCTGGGGACACTCACTGGTTCTGTGGGTCACACATGGATACACAGCCCTGGATTTGTGTTCCTGCAGGTGACTCCCAGGCCTCACTGGTTCCTTGCAGGTGGTTTGAACCCTTCGGTGTAGCAAAAGAAAGAGAGATCCAGTTTTGACAGGTGATCTGTTCCCAGTACACACCAGTTCATCATTTGTTTATCAACTGCATCAGTTGTGTACAAATAGAGCTGGAATTGTTCAAGCAACAGAAATACATGAAGTAAAATCAGGCTGGTTAAGCCCTCAGTAGAACCACCCTGTGTCCTGCACTGGTTCCATGGCCAAATGCAAAGGGCATTTCCATGAGTTTACACTCAGAAGTTTGGCTACTTTCCGCTTGGCATAGTGACTACACAAGAGTCAAATTTTCTGTCTCCACTATTTCCAGAGACACCAGTCGATCATGGCACTGATTCTGTGCAGAGCCCTGGTGAGTAGGAGAGATGAATTCCCCTCCCCTGCCATGGACAGCAAAGTCACCACCAAAAAGTGAAAGGCTATTTTGGTAATAATTACTTTTTGATGCTTGATGCCTGCCGAGAAGAAAGTCTTCCAGAATATTTTTCTTTCAGTGCATTCAAGATCTCTTTGTACTTCTTACTTTCTTCTCAAGGGAAGAAAAAGAACTTCAGCAGTAATTCCCACCCCTCCCTGTCTCAGCCTAACTGTGGAGGAAGTGCTGAGCTCTTTCATCCCACAGAATTCCCTTCTTCCCAGCTCACCTCTTCAGCAGCACACAAGGGCCTTCCTGCACCAGAGGAGGTGGGAATAGGCACAGGAGGCTCCTTAATGGGAGGCCTGGGGGTCACAGGGCTGTCTGGAGCAGGCTGGATGTAGTGGTTATTCCTGCTTGGGTTAAAAACATCAATGGCAAAAGAAACTGTGTTAAGAGAACGTTCAAACCTCCTGATCAATTAGACTTCAATTAGCATCTCCTAATTCAAGCAGGTTACCCACGGCAGGCCCAGGACATGTGTCCAGGTGGGTTTTTCAATGTCTCCACAACCTCTCTAGGTGACCTGTAGCAGCAGCTACCTTCAGAGTAAACAAAAGTGTTTCCGAATGGAATCCTCTCAGGTTTTTTTAAGAGAATTTTTTTGTGGTTGTGGGTTTTCTGTTTGCATTCCTGGTCTCGGCCCCTCCCCAAGTTCAACACTTCCTTCTGCCACAGGAGGTCGAAGTGATGAACTTGTTAATGTTTCTGTGATCTGCTGTGTCTATAAACTAGCTGGATGTAAAGAAAGAGTTGAAAGACAAACCAAACCCACAGCTGGAGACCTCCCTCAGCATAGCAGCCTGGAGGAGTTCCCGATCACCTCGGGAAAATACTGCTCTATGAACACACATACAAATGTTGGGCAACACAGAGGAAGTTCCAGGGTGAAAGTGAAAGACAAGAAACCGTTCAGAGGAGACATGAAAAAAGACAGAAGGACTTTTACCTCAGATATGGAACTGCCTTGTAAGGAGGGGATAGTGTTTCTGTACTCCAGCACATCTTGGTGTTACAAGGCATTTGGTCTGCAGGAAAAGAGCAGAAGCCATCAGCAAGTACTTATGAATTTAAAGAGTTTCACCAAAGAGAAATTATTTTCATTCTCTCTCTTGCATGACGATATTTGTGTTAAGATGCTTCAGGATATTTTCATACTGGCCACTACAGAATGCTGCCAGCCTAAACCTAAACAAAAAAGGCTTATGTGGCTCAGCTCCCTAAAGTTGGGTTTGAAATCCCTCCCCCTTTTGGCAAGCTAACAGTGGGCACAGCTGAGCTGAAGGATCAGAACTGCATCCAAGGCCAGGAGAAATCACAGAATACCTTGAGCTGGAAGGGATCCACAAGGATCATCAGTCTGACCCCTGGCCCTGCACAGGACACCCCAACAGGCCCACCCTGTGCCTGAGAGCATTGTCCAAAGGCTCCAGGAGCTCTGGCAGCCTTGGTGCTGAGACACTGCCCTGGGGAGCTGTTCCCAGCCCTGGCCCCAATCCAGAAGCAATGCCAGGGTGCAGGGAAGAAACAGAGCACTCCTAGATGCTACCTAGATATTGTGCCTTCAATACCAGTCCCTGAGCCTGGGGCAGCAGGAAGGAGAAATGAGTGAAGAAGTCAACATCAGCCTTACCAACTCCTGTTCTATCCTCATCTGCCACAGAAGCTGTTCCTGTTTTAATTGAAGAGTCTGAAGAATTGGGCTGAGTCTGAAATAAAACCAGAAACAAGTACCAGAGTGAGTATAACCTGAATGTGAATCCAAGCAAACCCAAACTCCCTGGAATCCAGGCAGCTCTGTTCTGGCTCAGGGCCCTGTGGTTTGCTGCTCTGGGTGGCAGCAGAACCTATGACCAGTCACTTTTGCCACACAGGCTCTCATCCACGCAGGGTCTGAAGCACCTCAAGCTTATCCCCAAGTTCTCCTCACAGTCTCTGCTCACCCCTTCTCCAGACTCAGACAGCCAAGTGGCATTGCTGCCTGGAGCCTTCTGGCACCCACGTGTGGCCTCTGGTGGGAACTCGACTGCCACAGGAACATCCTCGACTCCCTCGTCAGCCTGAAGGGTGAGACATTCTGAAAGCCAAAACAACACCAGTCACAGGAGAACAGCGTTGAAAATGGGATGAGGATTTCTACTTGCACCAAAGCAAGGACAAAAGCCAGAGCTCCCTAAGGTACCTCAACCCTAAGGAAAATCCAAACAGTCAAGCCCTTCTGGGAGAGGCAATACCTCTTTTCTGCTTCTTTTCAGGAGTCTCGCCAGGATCCTCCACAGGTGACAGAACACTGAGGGAAGAACAGACAGAACAGTGTTTTGCAACCCCAGTTCAGCTCCCAACAGGCTGTGACTCCCCTCCACAGGGCCCAGACTTGCAAAGAGAGTTTTCATATCCCAAGGTCTTCCCTGGGATCTTCTCCCAGACAGCTAATCATCCTAATAAAGCATCAGGTCTCTTTGTCTCATTCTGTTGATGCTTCCTTACATTTTGTGTTCTTATTACCAAGAAAACCCTTAATGGGTGAAGTTTTCACTCTGGAATGAGACAGTAAGCAGAACGTCCTGGAGCAAGTTTGTCCCAGAGGGAGCAACCCTACTGTCTAAACCACACCATGTAATCCAAGGGGGATTACAATCCAAGGATAAACCACCTCTCTTTCAAGGCACAGAGAAGGTTCAGCCATCGCCACTGGGAGCTCTGGGGCACCAGCAGTGGTTCATCCCTGGGGAGGCATCCCCGTTTTTTCCACTCCACATCCATAAGTCCACGACTTTCCTGCATCCCACATATCCCTATTTGTATACATCCCCTCCCCTGCTCCTTCAACACACCTGCTCCAAACCTCCAACCCTTTCCTCCTTCTCAGCCCCCAGTGAGCAGGTGGAAAGGGCACAAGGGCTGGGATTGCCAATGGATTTCTCAGGAATATGTGGGACCCACAGTCACCTCAGCATCTGAGTATGCCAATGGGTTTATTGGGAATACCTGAGACCCCCAATCCTCCCAGCATCTAGATTTGCCAATGTATACACTGGGAATATCTGGGACCTGCAATGTTCTCAGCAAATGGGATTTACCAGCAAATCGCTGGGACCTACAATCATCTCAGCACAAGGGATTGATCAGGAATATCTGGGACCCGCAATTGTCTCAGCACGAGGGATTGATCAGGCATATCTGGGACCCACAATCGTCCTATTACGAGGGATTGATCGGGAATATCTGGGACCCACAATCGTCCTATTACGAGGGATTTATCAGGAATATCTGGGACCTACAATCGTCTCAGCACGAGGGATTTATCGGGAATATTTAGGTCCCGCACTCCTCTCGGCATCACCCGTGAC